TACTATGAATATGTGCCCCTGACAATGGACCGGCTCAGTCAGTGGTGGGAGTTGCCCCTACCCCCTAGGCCAGAACAAAGACGTCCACTCAGGGATGCATTCTTATACACAGGTACAAACAGGTTACGTATCATTGAACACACTGAGGTACAGCCCCTCTATGCATTAGGGTGTTGCCTTTCCCCTGGTACAGGTTGATTAAAAAAAACAAGTCTATCCCTGACCCTGCCCTTCTGCCTCGGCCCTTCCCTTTTCTGGTGGGACCCTCCACCAGCACAGGGCCCCCCAGTCACCACTTCTGCCCCATGCTGGGCAAGGGGGGGGCAGTCCCATCTCTGACCCCCAGTGAGGCTACAGTGAGGGGCATCGGCAGGGGAGGAGACACATATGTGATGGCAGCCCCCCCGTGAACTCACCACAGAGGAGGTGAGGGGGCTTCTTGTACCTGAGAGGGACCCTAGGAGCACGTGCAGTGACAGTGGTGCGAGGTGAGTGTGCAGTCGGGGAGGAAGAGGGGACTCTCCCCCAGAGCTCACTGCTGCTGGCAGGGAGAGGGCTGGGGGGAGTCTTCCTCTCTGGCCCCAGCCCTGGGGCAGCCTGCCTGCACCCCAAACTCCTCATCCCCTGCCCTACCCCACCCCAGAGCCTGCACCACCCGTCAGAGCTTTCATCCCTCACACCCTAACCCTCTGCCCCAGCCCTGAATCCCCTCCCACACCCCAACCCTCTGCCCCAGCCCTGAGCCCCCTCCTACATCATGAACCCCTCATCCCCATGAACCCCACACCCCTGCATCCAAATCCTCTGCCTGAGCCCCTCCCACACCCCAAACCCCTAATCACCAGCCCCACCCCAGAGCCCTCACATTTTTACATTATATATATTATATGCTTACAAGGCAGGTGTGGGAGCAGGACTTGGACTTGTTCTGGGCACCACGAAAAATTATACAAACCTGCCGCCCCCTGCTCCTTGAGTATTCTAAGAAGTATTTCATCAGGACCTGGTGACTTGAAGACATCTAACCTGTCTCAGTAATTTTTAATTTGTTCTCTCCCTATTTTAGCCTCAGATTCTACCTCATTTTCACAGGAGTTCACTATGTTAGATGTCCAATTGCTACTAACCTTTTTGGTGAAAACTGAAACAAAAAAGTTTATCATTTATCACTTCTCCCTCCCCCTCCCCCACACACTCATTCAATAATAAGCCTACCCTGTCCCTGGTCTTCCTCTTTTCTCATGTATTTGTAGAATGTTTTCTTGTTACCTTTTATGGCTCTAGCTAATTTAATCTAATTCCTAATGGTTCCCTGGGTGTTCCTTCCTATTACTTTAGCTATTTCAGACTTTGTCTCAGCTCACTGACCCTTTTACTTATCTTAGTTAGCACAGACATGCTGTCGCAAAAGATAACCCCAGAGGCAAGGACTGGGGACTATTTCAAGAAGTTTTAAACACATGCGGAGATCATTAAAGGCCTTTCAAAACTGTATCTTTCCTTGTCATTGAATTTGTAAAAACAACAAAAAAGCCAGCTCAAAAAGCCAGAGCATGAAATGTAAAATGAAAATGTATGCTTCCTTTTGACTTCACTTGCCGTGAGTTGCAAACTGTTGCATCAATCGTGTCACACTTTCCATAAAAGTAGTAAAACTCAAGAGAACTAATATTGTTTTGCCCACTCAGAACCAATTCTACACCTTCTATTCAAACAATCGGCATCCAAAGAGAAAAGAATCCTGCAACCTCAAAAGGAGAGGTTCTAAAGGCTTTATGGAATATAAGCTACTTTTTCATTTTCAGTCAAAAGATCATCCGCAGAGTTTTTCTTTCCAGAATGCTTTGTACATAGGCTAAGTTGTATAACAATAAACTGTATTCCCAGAACACCTTGTAGTTTATTGTGGAAATTTACTAGCCGTCAAATTGTTGTAACAAAATCTGTCAGAAGCAAGAGGCGTGCTCTGTTAAGGTTTGCCATACATGAACTGTGTGTTACATACAGTTAGTGGAAATGTCACTATGGTCTAATGCTTGCTACTTGTACGCTATGGCCTACTAACATCTAAAATGTTACATACAAAACCTAGGTTTCAGAGTAGCAGCCGTGTTAGTCTGTATCCGCAAAAAGAACAGGAGTACTTGTGGCACCTTAGAGACTAACAAATTTATTAGAGCATAAGCTTTCGTGGACTATGCATCC